AATATTAGCTATGTAGACACCTTGGGTGACAGATTGCTTGTTTAGTCACTTGCTGGGATGGTTAATTACTGCTTCATCCACTCAGTTCTAATCGTATCTTTATCATTTGTTTTAATTCGCAGCTATAAATGATAGTTGTCTTGTGTATGATGGTAAACTGGTGATAGACGCTAATTTCCATACTAACGATCTGTCCATCAGAGGTGCAGGGCCACTCACCAAATTCCAACGTAAATACCATGCTGATCAGTGGTAAGACAAACAGCAGATTTAAATTTGTATATTTTAAATCATTCAACTTTCAGTATAGTGATAATTTCTGTTAAGTTAATATGACTTTGCATGTTAACAGACATTTCATTGCCATCATAACATGTCGTGTATACATTATTTTAACTTGTTCCAGGACCCACAGTAACTTCAATTCCAAGGAGGTGGGATTTTTATTAGCATCAACCATGTTGAGACTGTTTGATCCCACTATAGAAAATGACATTGTTCCACCAGAGGAACCTCATAACCTGATACCCATGTATCGTAGTGCTAAAGTACAGAGTGGGTTCCTACCTGGTGATTATTACTACCTAGACTATGGTAAACCTAGTCTTAAGCAATCATTGGATGCTCTCATGGCACAACAAGACTATGTAAGTATTACTCACTCATTAAGGTGGATTTTTTGTTGTATTCTAACACTGTCAGAAAATATATTTATCGCCGACCAACATTGATGATGTTTTTCTTTGCTTACAGGGTGAGGAACTGATCACTGGTCATCCAGACAAGGATGGTTCAGAATATTTCAGAATTCATGTTAATCAGTACAGTCAATTAGAAACTGTCACTTGTTTGTCTAAAAAGGTATGCCTCATTAATTCCAAATGTGCCTGCTCAATTCAGTGCATCATTATTTCAACTTTTTATATTGCAGTAACTACTTCACCCATTTCTATGTATATACCGGTAAGTCTATAACTATTAACCTTTTTTTATTCTTTTTCAACCTCAGCCAATTGACACTGGTAACCTCCTATGTCTGTATGGATTACATGAACGATTCCTCAACAACATGTTGTCCCGATTTAAGGAAGGTCTGATCAAAGACTTTTATGAGTTTTTCAAAGAAACATGGTGCTTGGCTGTGTTCCATGATAGATTTGGTGACTTCAGACAAGAAATTCGTGAACTTCTTATTCAAAGACCAGTAAGTAACGCTACAACTGAAGATACCGTAACTCAGTTTACATAGAAGCTATTTCGTCAATGTGTGTCATATCTCTAATCAACTATGGCTTTATCTTTGCCTTTTTAGGCTGCTGACTTGCCATCACTTGAAGAGAAAGTACGTCAATTGATAGAGCAGGATTTACAGGTATTTTCACTCTACAGTATAAGTTTCTCTTCATATACAACTTTCCAGTTTACTTGAAGATAAGAGAAATTCATTATATATTTTCAAACATTTCACTTGTTTTTTTCTTTCAGTTGGAGAAGAAAGACCGTAAATACTTGAATGATGAATTTGAAGATGGTTCGTACCGGAAAGCAGTGGAGACTCGTTTGTTGAGTTTCTTGAGTTACAATTACTACCATCTGCCGATGTACGCCAAACCCGGAATGGTGTAAATGGTGATCATCACATCATAGACACTAACCTTGGCTAGCCTTTGCAACATCTCACATATGTATGCATAAACCTTTAATCTGATGTAATTATACCATTTTGTACATAGAGTAACTATATAATAATTGTTTGTGGATATTTGTAATTTCTCTTCACTGTCCTGACTTTGTATCATGCGAAGTTAATCAAGTTGTATAACTGAAAATGTAAATTTCTGAGTCAGATATGAATCTGGTAATCTTTTAACTGCTACATTTATCCATCCCAAGAAATGTTAAGTGATTCATATACATGTAGACTTTAAATTTTCTGATATATTGTGTATTTATATATTTTGTGTAGAATTACAATTGATGGATTTTCTAAAATGTATTAGAATGATCAAATCCTATTCATGTCTTCTTTGAAGCAAGATTGCATTTTTTTTACTAGCATTGTGGAATGCTTTGTATCATCTGTTAATAAATGTTTGTACTGTATATCATGTATTTTATCGTGTTATATGAATGAGAATCAGGTTCTGCATTGTCATGCACACATTCCAAACATTTTTCACTTCATTGTTTAAATTTCTCTGATGAATTCAGCATACGAATTTGAGGCTGTACATGTCATTGTTGGTTGTATTGTCTTGTGGTTCTTACTTCTCAATAATAAAGCATTCTTACTCGTTTCCTCTTTCTCAGATTTGACAGCTTGTCCTTATGAGAACACAACTATCTCAAGAGATAGTTATCTTTGGGTTGAGATAATTAACAATTCACTTGGATGTGGTATTATTGGGGGGGGGGGTCATTTTGTTTGTGTAATCTAATTAATTAAGCTATACAGTGCATTTTAATTGTTTTCATAATATCCTAAGTTTGTCCAAGTACATACACACACATACACTATACAGATAAATTACCTAATTTGCATAACCAATTTCAGCTTGTTCGTTCTGTGTTCTAATCAATCTGAGAAGCATAAAAATGTTCAGATTAAATGGTTGCTCAGTAAACGTCAAATAATATTGAATTTGAACAATTCACCTTTTCCAAATTAAATTATCTTAAATGCCAAAACTCGGTGCACAGACAAGTATGCTGTTGATACTGCTTCCTGTACAAATTTCATATAATGGACTTGACATATTTGGTCAATTTTAAGGTAGCGGGACTATTATTTGCATACTTGTTTTCATCTTCTAATTGTGACTAAATGACTATAAATAGACCCAGGAAAGTATATATTTTTAGAATCGCCAGACTTCAAGCTTTTCACAAGTGTATTTTGCATGCCCGTATCTGCATTCTACGACACGTTACTCAACCAAAAGTGAAAAATTACTTTTTCTGTAAAAAAAATAATTACGCATTTATGCCGGCGATAAGAAGTATTTTTTTTCACTTTTCCTAGTTGTTCAATAGTCTGGTAAATTGAATGTGTCTGGTCAGTTTTATTTCAAGCAACGCGTTTTAAAAAATAGTGTGCTGAATTT